TCTTTCAAGATATCTCTTCCACTGCTCTCCTACTCCATCCCTGTTCCACCTCAACCATCCGTCCCCTTATGTTCTCATCCCCCACCCCCTACCACTCTATTTAGTTCATGTGTGTGTGCGCACATGCCACAGCACAGGTGTGGAATCAGTGGACAGCTTGCAGGAGTCAGCTCTCCCCCTCAACATAGGGCTCTGGGGATCAAACCAAGGCCATCAGGCTTTGCAGCAAGGGCCTTTACCCACTGAGCCACCTCTCCAGCCTGCAACTGACTTTTGATGGGGGATGTCAGGACATTTCAGTGAGGAAAGGGCCTTATTTTCAACAAACAGCACTGGAGAAACTTAACACCCACATGCAAAAGGAGAAAGTGGCATGGTTACTTGATACCATGTTAAAAAATAATTCTCGACGAATCAGAGGCCTGAATGTACTGTAGTAAAAACAGTGTCTAGGAAAAGCCTCAATATTCTAGATGTGACAGTGGTTTCCTGAATACAGCACTGTAAGGAGAGGGAACAAAAGGGACAATAGATAAGGCAACTAAACCAGATTAGAGAGATCTGCGCGTCCGCAGGCACAGCCGGAAGTGTGAAGAAGCAGCACTCGGGATGAGAAGATGCCTGCACTCATAGGTCCAGGATTTATGAAGAATTCCTACAGCCCTGTGACAACAGATAACTGTCGTAAAAATAAAGGACCCCAACAGACCTTTCCCCAGAGACCAACAAACCACCCAATAGCAAGCAAAAAGCTGGTAGGCTCCAGAGAAATGCAAATGACTAGCCCAGGGAGATACCACCTCACACTTAGTGGGATGGCTGCTGTGACAGAGACAGGAGGTTACAAAGGTTGGTTAGAATGTAGGGAAGTTCCTGCTGGGGACAGAATTCAGGATAGAGTACTTGCCTAACATGCACAAGGGGTCAATCCCCAGTACTGTGAACTAGATAGATGATTAATAGATAGATAAATAGGTAGGTAAGTAGGTAGGTAGGTAAACAGGTAGGTGAATAGGTAGGTGCATACATATATATGGACAAAGGAAATAGAAACTTGTGTGCTGTTAATGGGAGAGTACAATGGTATCACCACTGTAGCAAACAGTATACTAGTGTGCTATAACCACATAGAATCATCTTATGCCCAGCAATTCTATGTCTCTATATTCACCAAGACAGAACCAAAAGCAAAGCCATGCAGAGATTTTCTTAAGCCTGTTCTCTGAGTTTGCTAGGCCATTACAACAAAGTATGATTCATTTTCTCACAGGTCTGGAGGCCAGAAGTCTAAGGTCAAGGTTGTAGACAGAGTGGATTGCTCTGAGCGCCCCCCCCCCCGGGTTTCTAACTGGAACTTTCTGCCTGGTCCTCACATGTTCATCCCCGTGTGTGTGTCCATGTTCTGATGTCTCCTTCTAGTACTCGTGCTAATTATCTTGATTCAACTTAATTACATCTTTAAGTAGCCTACCTCCAAACACTTGGGGGTCAGGATTTCAGCTTGTGAATTGGGGGTGAGCCAAAGGTTCGAGCGTCTCCAGTGCCCATCAACTTATAGATGAAATAAGCAAACTGTGGTCTGCCATAAAGTGGAAAGAATTCAGCTTTAAAGAGGAAAGAGAGGAAAAAGGTTCTGATGCACCTGATGCCCATATCTCACAGCCTGACGCCTGATGACCCTTGAGAACTGTGCTAACTGAAATAAGCCAGGCGCAAGCAGACAGCATCTGTTTCCTCTTCTGCAGATCCCAGAGTTGTCAGATTCATAGAGACAAAAGCTAGAGAGGATTTTGTTGGGATTTGGGAGGGAGGGATGAAGATTTGGTGTTGATTACAGAGTCTCTTCTCAGAGAGATGAAAAGTTTCTGGAAACAGATATTGTTGAGATCGGGTTGTACCCTGCTCTCAGTTACTCCATACTGTGTAGAATAATGGTTTTAAGCAGTGCCTCTCCCCGAGAAACTCCATTTTACAAGCAGCTATTGACTCCATTTTAAGGGTAGAAAATGACTCTGCAACTTGGTGGGCACACAAACACCACCATCTGTCCACTACCACCCACGGCACAGACTGAGAAATGACAGATTTCTGAGAGGGAAAAGATACCATCCTATCAATTTATAAAAGTAAATTGAGTCCACATAGGAGAGTATTAAAATTCTACCAGGAAAACCAGGCATGAGAACTCACCCAGCACACCAAACTGAGACCTCCTCACCCAGCCCCCAAGAGGGATATGGTCCCACTAAGCTGACATCTGACCAGTGAGGTGCACGTGTGCATTCCTGTGTTACTCTTCCATTGCTGTGATCCAACACCATGACCAAGGCAACTTAAAGAAGCAAGAGTTTATTTTGCTCATTGCTCCAGAGGGACAGGGGTCTGTTATGGCAGGGAGGCATGGTTGCAAGGAGCCAACGTGGCCGGCAGGAGCAGGAAGCAGAATTCATATCTTGAACCAAAGCACGAAGCAGAGAACAACTTGAAATGGCGGGAGCCCTAAACTCTCAAAGCCATCCTCCATGACATGCTTCCCCAGCAAGGCTCTACCTCCGAAACCTCCCAAACAGCACCACGAACTTAGCACCAAGTGTTCAAATACATGAGCCTATGGTCTATGGGGCATTTTGTGCAGACTACCCCAGTGTGTGTGTGTGAGAGAGAAAGAGAGACACAGACAGACAGACAGACAGACAGACAGAGAGCGGGGGAGAGAGAGAGAGCATGCGCAAGTGCAGTAGGCAGAGAACTCCTGTCTGAGACTTCAGCTTGGCTTGGTCCCTGCTTGGATGAAGCGTCCGTGTGTCTGGACCTAGTTCTGTGCGTTGCCTCTATAGCCCCTATGCCCAGCATCTCACACCTCACTTCTGCAGCTTGACTCAACTCTGAGGCTCAGCTCAACTCTGACTATGTGGCTTGGCTGGAGTCTGCACACGCTGCCTCTGACTGGGTTCATATCTGATCTAACCTCTTTCACTGCCTCCCTTTGAACCCTTATCATCAAGGCCTCTTTGAAACTCCTTGAACTCTGTTGGCCTCCTGAACCCTTCATAGTCATTCTGTTACCTACATGTATACATACACACAGACATATTTACTGTGTGATACATAATGTGTGAGCTGTTAATATTAGCAGTTATATTAGCAGTTAAGATTGGAATGAAAGAACCCGTGTTCACCTCAGCTGGCTTTGGAGGAAATAGGGGCTACTTGACAAATTCCAGCCAAGGAAACGGAAGTAGCTAGTGAGTCATTATTCAGTAAATGCTAACTTTGCAGGAAAGTGTGTTCATGTCCATGTCTCTGACATAGCACACTCATGGCAGTTATATGATGGATGTAAAATGATGCAAGTATACTTAACTGCCACTGAATCCATACACTTAAAGATGGTTACCTTTCTTTAAGTAACCGTGGATGCGGGTGGTTTAGTGGGACAGTGTTTGTCTAGCATATGTAAGACCCTGAGTGCATTCCAGCACAACACACACAAACAGACCTGATGATAGCTTTTATTGTATATATTTTACTCCGATTATTTTTTTTAATAAACAAAAATGAAGTGTTGAGGACGTCAGTTTTTGTCGACTTGAGGGTGGCCAGGTGGTTCCATCCGGTGTGCAGGCATTTTCCAAGGGCAGATGCAGGGCACGGGAAGAGCAGGGCTAGAGAGGCAAAGTGATGTTTCTGCCTTAGACCTGGCTCAGCGATGAGCTACCCACCCCTCCCCATTCTGCTCTAGATTCCTGTAATGGTTGGTGTTAACTGTCAGCTTGGCTGGATCTTGATTCGGTTCTTTAAAGACCCATCTTAACAGTGGGCAGACCATTCCCTGGGTGAGTTGAGCACAACCGTGCCTTTTATGACTCTCCATTCCTGACTATGGATGTGTGTGACCAGCCACTTCAAGCTCCTGCTGCCTCGACTTTCCTATGGAAGTACTCAAACTATGAGCCCAAAGAAACCCGTTCTCGCTGAAGATGCATTTGTCTGGGCATTTAATCACAGCAGTAGGAAAAGAAACTGATATAACCCCACTCTCGTTCATCTCCACCGCTGTCATTACGCTTCATCGGTGGTTCCAATACCACCCTCCCCAGGTGTGGTCATCTTTCCAGGAGACACACTTCCTTGGACTACTTCAAAGAAGCCTCGTGTTTCTGTTCCTATTGTTCCTGATGAAAATCCTGTTCATCAGCCACTGCCCACATGATCCCCAGATAGGCTGCTACTCTTCCAGACTGCCTGCCTTAACTCTTTATCTTTTTAGGCCTTTGGTCCGTGACTTTGTCTTCCTTCTAGCTTGCTGGGGGTGGTGGTGGCTGCTGTTGGACATTCAGCTTGATGTTCTGGAAGGGAATGGGGATATAGGTGAGCATCCCCTGTGCTGCTGGAGTTGCTAGGGCTGGCAGCTGAACCTGGCATCCTTGACCTAGGCTCAGACCTTCTTCAGTACGCCAGTCAAATAGACAAGCAATAGTCAAAAGCAGAAAGTAAGCATTCGACGTGGCCACACTGTGAAGAAATGCCTCTCTAAGGCCATCTCTGAGTCTTGGCATGAGACTTAAGATTTAAATAGAGGGCAAGAGGTTTGCATAAGTAAGCGTCCTGGCTAAGGTGTAGTCCACCCATCATTAACACATCATTGTCTCTTGACTCCAGTGTGTTTTGCAAGGTGGTCTTGACAGCCTGTCAGAATGATGTGAAATCTCTTGACTAGAGATAAGGCTAGCACAAAGTTTTATAGCCTTTTCCCCAGGAAGCTGAGATTCCAGAAGAAATACCAATTTCTCTGTTCTGTTGTTTCAATAGTCTGGTAGCTAAAGGAAGGAACACAGTATCTCTTTAAATATTTATTCCTACCAGGATCCTCACAACTGTGTCTCTCTACTGGCTGGTTCTTAGAAGGACTCTTGGAGAGGGCGGTGGTACCCTCCTAGTGTATCTACACCTGTCCTAAGGGACCATAGCCTTGACTTTGTGCTCTCTCTTCCTCCCAGGACCTGAGCTCCTTTGCCATGCCACTCCTGGATGGAGATGTGGAGAGTTCGGAAAAGCACTCTTCTCGGAAGGTAAGACTCCCCTTTTCAAAGCTTCTCACCACCACACCTGAGTTGCCCCAAAGCAGGCAGAGTCTGAGACACCCTTCCGGGTTTACTTTTATGGGAATCACACCAGCATGGGGGGTTGGATGTTGCTGAGCCATCCTGAGACAGCTTGCCTCACAGGGCCATACCTCCTATGTTGCTGGCTGCTCTGGTCCCCGAGTCCTCTGGGCTTCGCTCCTTCCTCTTGTCCTCACGGCGGCCTGTGTGCCGTCACCAGTCTCCCCCAGAGTGAGTGAGTGATGTGAAAGAGGGAGATGAGTAGTGAACTGAGCTGGGATGCCGAACAGCAAAGACCAGGCTAAAAGCAGCGAAGCTGAAAATGGCTGGGTCCTTTGGTGTTATCACTACCTCAGACAGGAGTTTGTCCCGCCCACTGTGCCCACAGGCCTTGGGGCTGAGATAATCCCTCTCCTCTGACCCGTTCCCTGACCACACCCATTTGCCCTTCTCTCTTTAACTCACTGCTCTCCCCTGCCTCACAGCTTAGTTGTTTCCTGCCATTAAGAAACCACAACATAACCAAGGGTACTGGCCATACAGAGCCAGGCCAGGAATGGGAGGTGATGGCGGTGAGGGCAGGTGAGGGGTTATAATGGCCATCCAAGAAGCAGGTCAAGGCAGCCTGCAGATTTCCCCTACAGTTGGGAAGTGGCATCTTATCGCCCACTGACCCAAGCACAAAAATGACCACAGGGAGTGGCTGCAGCATCTCCGAGTGGCTGCTGGGTGCTCTCCAGCCTGGGATTAGGGCACGAGTTCCCATCCTGGAAAAAGGGAGTCTATTCTCTGAGCATTTGAATCACATACAATTGAATCAACAAATTGGTTTAGGCCCATGAGGCTCACTTGGCGGTCAGTCCCCGGCCCCACCCTGCCCTACCCAAACAACCTTATTAGCAGTGATTGTGCCCCAGCCAGAAAGACTGTCAGAAAACGGCCTGGGGCCTGGGCTGCCAGGCGCCGTCCAGCTCAGCGCCTGTAGTGTAGCCAGGTCAGGTCCTCTGGTCCTCTGCCCTGTTATGTTCCACAGAGCCATTCCTGCATGGAAAATCCAAAAGGAACTGAGGCTGAGGCAGAGATGCTTCGGTGGAGGTAGGGCTTTCGTGGTGGCCCCAGAAATCCAGAGAGAGGCTGTGGTTAGCTCTAAAAGTCAGCTGAGAGGGAAAGGTCACGGAGGTATTCTTGCCTTCCTCCGACATTTGCTCAGAATGAGCCTCACCCATCTTGTGGGCCTGATGAAGGACCATGCCCAGGAGGAGGGGCTTGTCCTAAGCGGTGGTGCAGTGTCGGATGCTGTAAAAGGCTGGGGACTATAGAGCACATTCCTCTCCTACATCCGCAGTCTCCAGATGCAGCTCGGAAGCAGGGCCTGGCCTGGGCAGCTTTGTATGATGGAAAGAGATGCTGGTGCTGGGAACCGGTAGCTCCCGTGGGCATTGCAGCCTGGTGCCCCCTCCTGCCACAGAGAGCAGCCCCTCCTAGGCCTGGGGATACCTGCAATGCTATTGTTTCACAGTCCTGAGGAATCTCTAGTGTGGGTGATGGCCAAGGAGACCTTTTCAGGAGACCAGCGAGGTGATGGTCATCTAGAAACATTTCCATTTTGCCTCAGGAGGGCATGCCTCTGCCCCTACTCAGTTCTTCACAACATTGACCTTGCTCAAAAATGGAAACACCTGAGAGAACCTCAGTTTGATTCCTACCTATGTCTGGCCCTTTCTGAGGACAGGATGGCAGAGGCCCAAGGTGAGTGAGGGATGCTACTTTCATGACAGAAGGGCATTAATGAGGGAATAGGTAGACCAGAGGAGGAGAGGGCAGTGGAAACCATGACACATCGACCTACCCTCAGGAGCCACACTGGATGCATGAGGCACTCCCTCCCTGTGAGAGTCACCAATCACTTTCACCTGTGCAAGTGTGGATGGGTGTGAAGCTGGAGCCAAGAGCTGTGTTCAAGACAGGATCTTACTTTTTATGTTCCTTTAAATCAACTTAGCTGTCACCCAGCCTCATCATCTAACAAGGCTGATGGGAAATTCTCCATCATTCCTGCTCCTAGGCTGCTTCAAAGATCCTGGGGACCCATACCATACTTTGACATATTGTTTTTAGCTACAGAAACTTCATCATGATGATAAAAAGATGCTGCCTCAATCATGACTGAGTCCAGGTTGCCTAGTGCTAGTACAGCATGCCCCCACCCTGCACCTTAATATCCTGAACCCCAGGCTTAGGGGACTGCCAATTAGGGAAGTGTCCTACACAGGGCGCATCCCATACTGGTGCTCTTGACTCCCCAAGGTGTCAATGGGGAAATGGGACTCCCATGTCTCCTCTCTACCCACTTCCTTGTACCCTGTCCCTAAGAGGTAGCCGTTCTTTGTTGTCATAAGGTATCTCTGTGTGGCACTCTGGTCAGCTGGCTGTGTGGCTCCAGTGTATAGTAGCTGCCCAGTCAGAACTAGCCAAGGAGAGAGACTTAGCCACACTGCAGTGACTAGTCAGCCAGGGGAGTCTGTGGAATGGCCCAGCACACACCCAACAAACGACGGGATTTCCTCTCTGTGCATTGATCCCGTGGTCACTGCCTGGCGGCCCTCTCATCCCTAGCCGTCTACATGTGTCCTCAGACAAGACAGCCTCTCTCTGAGAGCGCCAACAGGGCCAGGAGTTGTGCTTGCCAAAATGATTGAGGATTGGCTGGCGTCACTAAGGAACAGGTGCAGGGGGGCAGGTCTGGGGGTGCACGTGGCAGTCAGCACTGGCGGTGCCTGTGAGACTCCACAAGGAAGAACACTCCTGTGTCGTTCACTTGTCATTCACGGGGCATGGGCCACTGGGCAAGGCTGCCGGCGTCACTTGATTTCTACCCATTGCTGGCTGAAGACTGATGGCAGATCCTCTCTGGAGATCAGCCACAGGGGAGCCCTGGAAACAGTGCCGCTGCCCCACATTCAGCTCTTCCGGCCTGAGGAGCTGGACTCACCACTGGATTCCAAGGCTGGCCCTTAGGTCCCCTGGCTTTGGACCTGCCCTCCCCGACTGCCTTCCTGGCTCCTTTCCCTCCATCTTCAAGAGCACAGATACCTTGTCTTGCTAATCCTCCTGGTCAGTCCTGAAGCTAGCCCCCACGAGGCTTCTCTCACTTTCTCACCCACTGCCTCCTCATCCGTTTGGTGGAAAGGCAAACCCAGCTAAGACCAGAGCAAGAACCGGCCCTCATCTCCGCTTCCTGCCTAGTGGCTCCCTGACAAACATGGAGTTTGCCCTGTCTGGGAAACTGCCTTAAAGAGCCTAAGTACCTCCTCTCCATTAGCTCCTGTGAAGCCGGGCACACACTGGGGAGTCTCACTCATACTCAGAGAATCATCAAGTTAAGTTGATCAGAGTATCATTTTGCTTCAGCTAGCCTAATAGCCTGGGCTTGGCCATCCCTAGTGGCTCTGGAGACGCCCACCGTCTGCTGTTCTCTGCCAACCCCTTCCAGGAAACAGGCAGGGAAGGAAGGGATCTGCAGGGGCAGGTCTCTGTAGGAGAGTCCAGGCAGGGCCCAGCATCCTCTGCTCTTTGGCCATTTTTAGGGGAAGAAGAAGGTCTCTTTTCTGGGGCTCTCTTCTCTGCCTGAAGGCTGAGTTTCTTAACTCCTGGAGGCCTGCAGTTCTGAGTATAGAATGGATTCTCAGTGGGTCTTCCTGGGCAGTTCATGTGTTAGCCCCTGTATCTGAGGCCTGGCTCCTTGTCAGATCCCACTCCAGTGTTTCCTCTCCCTTGCCCATCATCCTGTCCAGATATATGAAGACTTCAGGGTCTCCTCTGATCTGAGGTCACCGTGATAGGCGGTGTTGCTGTTCTGGGCATCCCTTCATCTGCTTCATGCTGCTGGTGTTTCACCTTGTTCTGTGATCTCCTGAGGCCTGCTGCTTCCCTGTCTGCCTTTGTCTTCTCTCTAGAGCTCAGTGCTGGCCTTTGCCTGGTATACCACCTCCTCATCAGGCCAAATTGATGTGCAAGGCAAGCTACACACCATAATAGGAGGAGTGCTGTGGGCCAGTCCTCCTAAGGTGACTCCCTCTCTGGCCTCTCTGCCTGGCCCTGCCTCTTTGATCCCCTGGACATTTCTGTAATGTTACTAGGTGTATAGTGTCAGAGTTAAAGCTGCGGGCCTTGAGGTCAGAACATTCATCAGCTTTATGGTGTCCGCTGTCCTCCCAACCACCTTCTGCTGTCAGACATGGCGGCATCCAGTGATGAAGAACGGTGGACCTTCTATACACCTGAAGCCAGTGCCTGCCTGGCTCTGGAGCCACGTGGTCTTCCACAGTCAGGGAGCAGATCCCAGTACCATAGCTCTCATAACTAAGCCATCCCTGAAACTCAGCCTTCCTTCTTTTCCAGACTACAAGTCCCTTCTCCATTAAGGACCCTTGAAAGGACAGTGATGCTGCTGGTCAGTCATGTATGAAGGACCACCTGGGTACTAGGAACCATGCTAAACATCCCTCCTGTGTATAACATAGTCCGTCATCTTTGCAGCCCATGAAGCAGTCTAGAATCCCCATTATGTAGAGGAGAGCCAGATACAGAGGGCCCAGCTCATTCATCCAACCACACTGACAGTGCAGAACTCATACTCATACTCATGTCCCTGTCCAAATCCTTGCTCAGTCTATCACCGTCTATTTCCTGTATGTGTGGTTTCTACTGCAGGTGAGGGTCTCTTGGCTCCCTGTTCCTTACCCCATGGCAACCCACTCACCACCTGAAGAACCTCTTGCCTTAAAAGTTCTTCTCAGAAGTGATCCTGAATCCCATAGGCAAATGGGAGGGTGGCTATAAAGCAGCAAAGAATCTCACTGATCTTCATAATAAGTAGAAGAGGAGTTGATTTGAACTAACTTTTAAAACATTTTTAATGATTTATTTATTCTTATTTTATGTGCCTTGGTGTTTTGCCTGCATGCATGTCTGTGCGAGGTGCCAGATCCCCTGGAACTGGAGTTACAAACGGTTGTGAACTCCATGTGGGTGCTGGGGATTGAACACTGGACCTCTGGAAGAGCAGCCAGTGCTCTTAACCACTGAGCCATCTCTCCAGCCCCTGAGCATCTTTCTAAGGAGGTGGCTCAATGATAAGATCCTGGTCACACACCAGCCTCTGACTCAGAGCCATTCAGGAAGGGGTTGGCACAAGTGGGTTCCGCTTCTCCATGTGACAACACCAGTTCCTTCAGGTCGGGTGCAGAATCACGAGTGGGGTTACCCTCTGGAGATTGATGGTCACTGAAGGGGCATCCCCACAAGGGCATCATAGTCTTTGAGATGCCTGATGTTGGAGCTCAGGGGCACCCTCTACTGGTGGGTCCACACATCCACCTTGGGGACTCCTCTTAGCATAGCCCTGGTTGCAAGTGTACAGCGTTTACAGGTCTGGATCCTTGCCCCCTGAGCCTAGGACAGTTACTTTCTTTTCTGTTGCTGACTTGGGATCCCCTTAGGTCCCTTTGGCCCCAGTGTCACAACAGAAACAAGTAATCGGACCACAGTAAATCACCACGCATCACGTCGTTGCTGTAAATCAGTCCTTGTGCTGGTGCCGCCATGTGAACACTCAAACAGTCCTGCAGGCAGAGGGTATGACTGTCCTTAGGTCACAAAGAAGGAAGCAGAGGCAACAAGACAAGGAGCTTGTTGCTGACATGGTAAGGGGCCGAGCTGAGGTCAAAACCCAGACTGCAGGAAGCAAACCCCTAAATACATTCACACTGCCGATACTGAATGGCTGTGAGCTGGAGCCATGGCTTAAAGCTATGGGACCTGGTAATTTTCCAAACTGTAGTGAAGCATGAACCTAATTAGTCTTACTAATAAAAACCTGGAGTCAGATATCGAGGGTGAAAGCTGAAAGATCAGAGAAGCAGAGCAGCAGCCACCTGAGAGTTCTTACCTCTACGAGTCCTCAGACTGAATGGGCCTGAGATCCTGTCTCCACCTGCCTTATATTCCTGTCTCCACATCCCTATGGCTAGGATCAAAGGCGTGAACCACCACCACCCAGATATGTTTCCTTTAGACTGGTTCAATCTCATGTAGCCCAGGGTGGCCTTGAACTCCTGATCTTTCTCCTCCCAAGTGCTGGGATTACAGGTGTGTGCCACCACTGCTTGGTCTCTATGGTTAACTAGTGGCTAGCTCTGCCTTCTGATCTCCAGGCAAGCTTTATTTGTCAGAACACAAACAAAACATCATACAACGCTGTAGCTGTGTTTTTGAGTCATCATTGAAGTTTGGGGTCTTGCTAGCACTTTTCCTGACTTCTGCTGGTGACCTTAGCCATTCAAATGCCACAGTAGCTTGGAGTGAAATCTGTCACCTCCTCATACCAGCATCCTCGCCAGTGAGCCCAAGGTCTAGTATGCATTCTGGATCATACAGACTCATGCTTTTTCTCCTGAGTGGGGTGGGGGGGTGGGGTGGGGGGGGGTGTCCTTTCCCAGTTGTGCCATCAGACCTGGGAAAGGACAAGTGAAGGGCTTCAAGAACAAAAGCCAATATGGGAACAGTCAAGGGACATGGATGGGGCAGTCAAGAGAGGCAGGAGGGGTGCGAGGCACCCTCTCCTCACCTTTATGCCCCCACCCCAGGGCTCTGTTAGACAGAACACAGGGTGACCAGAGGGCTCCAGGACAGGAGCTGACCAGCCCAGGGCTGGGCGTCCATGGCACAGGCGCTGATGTCTGGACCATTCCATTGCCACCTCTGCGGAAGAGCTCAGAGTTGCTTCTCGGTCTGCTTGGTGAGGGTAAGAAGGACCAATAATGACAGGTCTACCGTAGGCAGAGTTCAGAGTGTTTGGAGCATTGTGACCTCACCCATTTGTCTGTCTTTCTGCAGGTGGACAGTCCCTTCAGCTCAGGCAGCCCTTCCAGAGGACTCTTCTCCAGGGGCCCCCAGCCCCGGCCCTCCAGCCCTGTGTCTGCTCCTGTGAGGCCCAAGACAAGTCCTGGTTCTCCCAAAACTGTGTTCCCATTCTCCTACCAGGAGTCCCCTCCACGCTCGCCCCGCCGTATGAGCTTCAGTGGGATCTTCCGCTCCTCATCCAAAGAGTCTTCGCCCAACTCCAACCCATCTACCTCTCCCGGGGGCATCAGGTTCTTCTCACGGTCCAGAAAAAGTAAGACATTGGTACTGTGGTTTCAGGTGGGTGCTGGGCTGTGAGGGACCTTCCGAACCATTGTCCCTCGGCCAAGTGGCATCAGAGCCACAGGGTAGCTGCTGGTGACTTGGTCTGAGCCATGACTTCATGCACAGTGACATCCATTTCCATCTGCTGTTCATTGTCTGCACTGCCCTCCAGTGTGGTGACCTTGGTGGTATGAACTTAGTAGCATGAACTAGAAACTTCCTGAGGTTCACAGTCTGGTTGGGGAAGACAAATGTTCACTTCCAGTGCTCAGGGTAGGCCTGCACCCAAGGCCAGTGTGCTGCCTGGTATGGCTCTGGTCCCTGGGGTCTAGGTCTGGGGACTTTGACTCTGTTTTCAGAAGACCCTGAGTCTCTCTGGGGCTCTGGGCACCTGGAAACACAGGGCAGGATAGATTGGCTGGAGAAACATGAAGGAAATGTGTGTGTTGGAATAAGAGCATCCTTTTGATTCATAAGTCACTTGTGGTCTGAAGATAAATATTGTCCCTTGAGCACTGTTGATCATAATCAGAAAGGCCAAGGCCAGCTCCAAGGGAGGGGTGTATCTCTCTTACTGTCCCAAGGCTGTGATAAAGTATCCTAGCAAAAGCAACTTCAGGGAGAAAGGGTTTGTTTGGCTAACAGTTCTGTAGAGATGCGGTCCATCATGGTGAGGAAGGCATGGTAGCAGGAGCAGGAGGCTGGCTGGTCACATTGCATCCACACTCTGGAAGCAGAGAGTAAACAGCAAATCGGGCCAGGCTAAAACAAACAAATAAATAAATAAGATCTTTCGTGCCCCCGGTGACTCACCTTTTAAAGATTCTACAGCTTTCCCAGACAGCCCCACAGCCGGGGACCATGTGTTCAAACGGGAGTCTGAAGGGGCCGTTCCACACTCAGATGACCACAGAGAGCATGTGTCCTCCCTGCTGAACATCTTCCAAGTTTCTCTGCTAGTTTAGAACGTTTGTGTGGAGAAGGAACTTGCCACTGAATGTCAGAGGTCAAGGGTATTCCTTTCCCTCTGGGTTGCATTTCCATTTCTTGTCTTACAAGACTATCTGTGGAGATATTTCAGCCTTTCTGAATTGTGAATTATTACGAGAGTTTCCTTTCTTTCCTGTTTTGTGTGTACATGTGGTCTGTGGGATATTGTTCCTAATAGCCCAAAAGCCATATCCCTAGGATATGGTCTTCTGCCTTCCCATGAACCTGTAAGACACAAACTACAATATACTGTGACTGAGGCATCGCCAGTATGACAATGTTCCTTGAGGCCAGCATTACCCAGGGAAAGTAGCTGTGCATTTACAAAGCCCAGTCAAGAGCAGAATGTTTCAGCACTGATGTTGAAATGTTCTAGAGAACTTCCTCCGATTTCTGGACCCCCTGAGATTCTCACATACAGTTGTTCCTCACTATTTCACAAGATATTGGTTCCAGGATCCACTTTGGAGACTAACCCCCGAGGATGCCCAAGTCCCTTATATAACAATAATGTAGCAGTTGCATGAGCCTATATAATCCTTTCATACACTTTTTAAAAACATTTTTAAATCTTTTTATCAATGTTTTGACTGCACTTCATGTCAGTATACCATGCATATGCAGTGCCTGAGAAGGCCAGAAGAAGTTCCTCTGGGGCTGGAGTCACAGACAGTTGCCAACTGTCCTGTGGCTGCTGGGGATTGAACTCCGGTCTTTTGGAAGAACAACCAGTGCTCTTAACTCCTGAGCCATCTTTCCAGCCCCCCTTCATATACTTTAAGTCATCTTTGGATTATTTATAAAACCTAGCATAATGTGCATGCTATATGAACAGTTACAACATCTGTAAACACATTATGCTGCAGTCTAGGGAAAGAGCTAGTAAGTCAGCTCAGCAGGTGAAGAAGGTGCTTGCCATCAGCTTGACAACTTGAGTTCCATCCCTAGAACCCATGTAAAGGTGGGAAGAGGGAACTGACTGCTGTGGAATAGTGTACACTGTGAAGATTTGTCAGTCAGATTGGTTTAATAAAAAGCTGATTGGCCGGTAACCAGGCAGGAATTATAGGTGGGACAACCAAACTAGGAGAATGATGGGAAGAAGAAGGGTGGAGTCAGAGGAGTCACCAGCCAGACGGAAAAGAGTCAGACACACACAATGGGATAGGGTTAAAAGCCACAAGCCTCAGGGCAGCACAAAGATAAATAGAAATTGGTTAAGTTGTAAGAGCTAGTTAGTAACAAGCCTGAGCTATTGGCCAAGCATTTATAATTAATATTAAGTCTCTGTGTCAGTTATTTGGGAAGCAGCTGCTGGTTATTTGGGAACAGGTGGTTGGGACAGGAAAGCTCCACCAACAACTGATGTCCCAGAGTTGTCCTCCAACCTCACTGGCACCTCCCCAATTACATACACACACAAAAAAAAATTTTACACACACACACAATAATTTTAGAAAGAGTCTTTACATACTCTGTATAAATGCAATTAAAACATAGTTTGGGCCTGTGGTTGAGTGCATCTGTAGATGAGGAGGGCCAGCTATGCTCCATTGCATGACCAGACTGTCTCAGCTGAGCGGCTTGTGCCTGGATCACTTCCAACTAGGCTGCATGTGTCTCCAGGGCTGTGGTCATAGAGCCTCATGAGCTGGGAAGCTTAAGATAGCATTGAGACATGTTCTCCTGAAATGCAGTCCCAGAGCCAAAGTCCAAAGAGAGGTGGGTGGGCCCAGTTCCTCTGAAGGTATCAGAAAGGACTGGCTGAGGGGATTTTTACTTTTTTTTCTGAGACATTCCTGGCTTATATATGTCTGTCTGTCTATTTATCTGTCTGCCTGCCTGTCTGTCTGTCTGTCTGTCTGTCTATCTGTCTGTCTGTCTATCTATCTATCTATCTATCTATCTATCTATCTATCTATCTATCTATCTACCTACCTATCTATCTATCTGTGTCTGTGTGTGTTTTAATAACTGTGGTCCCAGAGCTGAAGCCTCATTTGTGCTTGGCAGGTGTCCCCCCCCCCCCCCCCCCCCGAGCTCCAGGCCCTGCCCTGTCTCTCTTTTGTAGTTTGAGACAGTGTCTCAGGGCGGGCCTTGAACCCACTGTGTAGCCAGGCAGGCTTTCGGCCTGCAGTCCTCCGCCTCCTCCTTCTGAGTAGCTGGGGTTACAGGTCTGTGCCATATGCTTAGCTTGAAAGATAAATACGTGTTTTAAAATGAGCTTGGTGGTAGCTGGTGTTGTCTGGAAGCAGGGGAGAGAGGTCAGATCAGGGACAGCGAAGGCTAGTGTTCAAGATCAAAGCCAGCATCAGGGTGTTGGATGTGGCGGGGCTAGCAGATCTCCAGGTGAATGAGCCACGTGAGAGGCTTCCTGGTTGTGTGAGGTGGCTTAGGGCAGACCTGGGAGACCCAGCTAGAGTTAGCCCAGGTCATGCATGCGATGTGTACTCAGTGCAGAACTGTGGGGACTTGGTGCATGTGGGTTTGTACTCAGAGCAGGAGTGTGTGAACTCGGTGCATGCAGGTGTGTGTTTGGCGTAGGTGTGTACAGAGTTGGTGCAGGAGCAGTTTCAGCGAGCACAGGAGTGCATGACCCTAGGCCGACTTGCCCAATGCGATGTGAAGACTACTATGTGAAGAACCAGGTCTAGGCCCGTGCCGAATACTGACATGAGTGTCTGTGTTCCCTAGGAGACCCCCTCAGAGGCCCAGCACTCTCTCTTAGGGTCCTAGGCAAGGCAGGCACATGGAAGGACAGAATGGGCCACCATCAAACTTCACAGACTGAGGGGCGCAGAACCCCACCCTCGCGCAACCACTCCCGAAATATCTAGCCTCTAAGGCACAGGGAAAGGGGCTGTCTGGGAAGCAGAAAGGCTGGTGCCTCTGGTCCTCATGCATGCTCTGAGAAGCCTTGCTATGGGTGAGGGTCACAGTCCATGTCCTGTGCCCACACTCCAGGTGTATCTGTGCTCCTTGGCTTCTTCCCCTTTCAGAAACCAAACACTGCTACCTCCTCCTCCTCCTCCTCCTCCTCCTCCTCCTCCTCCTCCTCCTCCTCCGCACCTGCGCTGGGCCCTGAGCCCCAAGGCCGTGTGTGAGCTTTGTAAGCCTAGTGTCAATTTGTCCCAAGTCAGCAAAGCAGACACGTGTCAGCAGCATGGGGCTGGGGCCACATGCGACGTGAAGACTACTATGTGAAGAACCAGGTCTAGGCCCGTGCCAAATACTGACATGAGTGTCAGGATGTGTCGAGAGCTGGGTACCACAGCTCCCCACCATTGGAGGAGCTATTGGGTGGAATCACAGACATGACCACAGACCCCTTTTCTAGCTCCCTGGGCAGGAGTTCATGCTGCCTCTTCCATTTTAGTCTTCTAAAAGGCCCTTCTGTGTTCAGGCCAGGAAGAAGGCTTCTCTTCCCCCATCCTCCTAGACAGCTGTGGATTGGGCCTAGGAAGGATTATGGAATGGCCTGGGCTTCACACAAAGATGAAAATTGATCAGGTTGATTGAGAGGACTTGGCTTCTTGGGGGGAAGCCTGTGGAATGAGGGACTGTTTCACAAATCAGGTCTTTCTCCAGGGCGGTGGCTCATGTCGTTGCCCTTGAACGTGAGCTTTCCTCACACCCACCAGGTACCAATGTGCAGGTCTAGAGCCAGCCGGAGCCCACAGCAGCAGATTGCCGGACCCCTTCATCTGGAGTTTCAGCTGGGTCTGGTGTGAGGCCGGCTTGGAGAGTAGATAATTTATCTACTTTCCCTGAGGTTTGAACATCTCTTCCTAGATTAAAGTACCCAGACATCATATTGCTCCTCGCTGCCCCAGAATTCATTCCACAGCTCAGAGGGGCTTTCTGGTAATAGTCCCATGACACCCCCTGTGTCCATTGCAGGATGTCAGGCGGGCATTGCTCATTTCCCAGAGTCCTGAGAGGACTGTCCTGTCTGGTCTCTTTACCAAGAATAGCTGGGCGTCTGCTCAGCTGCCCCACTTTTGTCCAGAGTGGACAGTAATCATCTAACAGCCCAGCTTTCCCGTCTGCACTGCCTGCTCGTTCTTTGACCCACATTCGTACAAAAGGACCTTGGCGGTGTGTCGGGCCTTGATTCTGAAGCTGGTTTTGGTCCCCGTTCTTGCTCTGTCAACCTACTGTGTTTCTGTTTTGTTTCTGAAATGAGGTCTTACTGTGTTGCCCAGGTTGGCCTCCAAATTGCTATGTAGCTCAAGGTAGCCTCAAATTTATAATCCTCTGCCTTCCGCATACTGGGATTAAAGGGAAGTGCCATCACACCTAGCTTCCCTTTTGGCTTTTTAAACTAGGAAGACAATTTATTGGGAGGATTTGGTGTGTTTGGTTTTTAAAAAGAACTCAGCTGAGCTTGAGATTTGGGAAGGGAAGAGATCCTATTGACTCTGGGGGAATTAATACAAGAATGTATGGATATTTAGTTAGTTTGTTTGTTTGTTATATTCAATCCAGAAAAATCCCCAGGCTTATGTCCTTGATTCCTTTTATAGTATATCTGAGTAGCAAAGTGGGGATGCCTGAGTCACTCAGTGATGGATGGCCAAGGCTAGGTGATGGACTGATGGGGGCAGACACAGACTCCTGAAGCAGCAGAAGAGAGCCCTCACTATCCAGAGGCTGACGTCAGGGTGCTGGAGAAGCATGTTTAATCCATCTCTGCCCTGGGGAAGATCTGTCGCAGGCCCTTGGTCAGCTTACTCAGTCTCTGTAACGGTTTGGGTCTGCAATATCCCACAGGCTCATGTTCTGGGCATTCCCTTCCCAGCTGGCGGTGCAGCTCGGAGAGGCTGTGGAACCTTCGGGTTTATCGGCGAGAAGCAGGTTTCTAGGGACATGCCTTTTAAGGTGATAGCCCCAGGCTGGTTCTCAATGCTCTCCCGGCTGTGAGGAGCCTTGGCGAGCTGTTCCTGCTCCATGATCTTCACCACAGGCCTTCACCACCACGACAGACCGAAGACTTTGAAAATGCCCCACGTTTTCGTCGTTTCTGCCGTCTTGTGTCACGGCAGCACGGATGTGACGAGCACATGCTCTCTCCCTTGCCTTGTGGTCCTTAGCCCCACTACACGTGTTTCTTCTCGTCTTAAAAGGACACCAGTCACGTGAGATTACGGGCCTGTCCCACTCTAAGATAATCCCATCTCGAGTAATTACTTCTGCAGTAAAACAAGGCACATCTGAGGTTCTGAGAAAGACATCAATTCAGGAACTGAATTCATCCACCCAGGTGCCAGCCTCGGCTACAGCTGACCTTCTTTGACCTTTGTTTTGTCTCCTTGGTGTGGCTGAGGTTCTCATTTCTACCCAGGCTGATGATTTCTTCTTGGTTTTCTCGTTTTGTTGCTCTTGTTTTAGGGCTTGTTTTTGCTTTTGAACAGGGTCTCACAATGTGGCATAGCAACTCATGATCCTCCTGCCTCAGCCTCCTGAGTGCTGAGGTTACAGATGTGCTCCCATGTCTGTCCACAGTACAGCCTGTAGGGGAAGCTCCTGAGGGGGTGGAAAGCTGATTATCCAGCCACAGTACAGCCTGTAGGTGGAGTCACCGAGAGGGTTTAAAGCTGATTATCCAGCCACAGTACAGCCTGTAGGGGAAGCTGCTGAGGGGGACGTCCCTCCATGGAGTTTTGATGATCTTGCAGAGACACGGGCTCAGAATGAATTAGAACTCCCAAGTGTGGGTGGAGGCGAGGCTTCCAGGGTGGAACTGGGTTAGGATTAGATGAGAGCCACGTGTCAACAGCTCAGGGTTGGTGGAAGAACGTGACAGGAGCTGGAGGTTCTCAGGCACAGGCTGTCTCCCAGTGTGAGGAGGCTGTCACAAGTGTCCAATCCACTGATCAACAGGACAGCCCAGAGAGGCAGCTGTTGCTGATGAAGACACCAGCAGTGGGGTGGAGAGATGGCTCAGTGTCGAAGAACGCTTGCTTGCTGCTCTTCCACAGGACCCAAGTTCAACTTTCCGGCACCCATGGGGGCAGTTTACAAGCACCCATAGCTCCAGTTCCAGGGTTTCGACCCTCCTTTATGTCCTCTGAGGGTACCTGTATACACATGGCGAACACACATACGCACACACACACACACACACACACACACACACACACACACACACACACCTTTTTAAATAAAAGATGACAACAGCCAAGCCCACCTAGACAGCGCATTATAATTTGGATTTTTAGTGTCCCGACTGAAACGGGGGTAGGTGGTTCAGGCCCTCCACATACTCTCATTTCATGACCCCTGAGGAGGGGTCTTCCCACTCTTCTTCAGCCAAGGCTGAAGGGCCCCAGCTAGCAGAGCAGAACCTTCCCTCATGCCCCGAACATGCCCCTTACCTGGGAGTCTTCTCTAGGAATCCCACCTTCCCTTGGAAGTAAATCCAGCACAAGTGTCTGGGAGGCCCCTAGGGTCCCCTCTGTGTGGCAGCCAGGATGAGCACAGACATAGAGATCATCAGCCCTGTGCACCGTCAGCCCAGCCAGGTGGTCTCCAAGAGTTCAGCCTCACACCTCCCGCTTCTGGGTCATGGGCTTCCTTTTCTACATGCCCTGCCCTTCACGTGGAAGTCTTATATCAGTTCTGAGAAGTGCCGACACTCTGGCTGGGTCTTCCAGGCAGAAGCCAACCTCAGCTGTCTGGGAACGTGGACTCCTTTGACGTTTTGTCCGGACCATCACTTGGGCCAGGAGGAAGCAGGTTACCCCGAGGCTGCCTTTCCAGTGTGGCCCAAGCGCCACACACTCCCTGCAGAGCTTGTCTGAGATCCCAACTTTCTTGCCCTCCTTATTGGACTTCTAATTTCTGCATATGTGTGTGTGTGTGTGTGTGTGTGTGTGTGTGTGTGTGTCTGTCTGTCTGTCTGTCTGTCTGTCTGTGTCTCTATGCACATGCATGCAGAGGCCAGAGGCCAAAATCAGGTAACAACTCCAGTCACTCCCCAGCTTGTTTGTCTGTTTGTTTTTGAGGCAGGGTTTCTCACTGAACTTGAGGCTAACCATTGTCACTAGGCTGGCTGGCCAACAGGCTTCTCAGGGACCCTCCTCTCTGTCTCCCGGCTGGAATTCCAGCCACTGCACCTGCCTCCTTTCTTTCTCTGAACGCGGGTCCTCATGCCTGCGTGGAAAGCACTCTACTGACTGGGGTGTTCCCCGCTCCGTAGGCCCCTTTTAAATAAGACAGAGGTGTCTCTTGTGACCGTGCAGAGTGCTGAATGAATGTTGCTCTGGCCTCCGCTCCCAACCCTTCCACTCTTCCAGTCTCCCAGCTGCCACTGTTGTCTCTGAGATTCCTTTGGACACATCTTCCAGAAATGTCTTCCTCTAGCCCACCCGTGCCCCCTCCCACCCCGCTAGAACGCAGTGGATTATCTAGCATTTTTCACTGCTGTGAAAGAAGCCGGCGGGACGGACTTGAGCCCTCTACCCTGCCGCCCCTCCACCTTGTTGCCCAGGTTAAGTGACAGCGGCACCATGCTGGCATGCTTTTCTTGGTAGTCTGCTGTGTTCCTACTTACACAGTTGCCGGAAAGGGAGATGGAAGTGAGTCTGAGATCTCTGTTTGATGGTTCCTGGCAGGACTCCATACGCCTGTGGGCCGAGCCACCCGCCACCATTAGGAATCACCTAGTGCAGCCACATGCTGACCAGTGAGTGGGTCAGGACCTAAGGGAGAGGGAGTAGACGAAAGTCAGGTTACAAGGCGGTGGGCAACCAGGCAAACTGACTCTATTGCAGGCCCCACTGGGGGAAGGCTTCTGAATATACAATTTGATTTAATCCTCATAGGGACTGTGATGGGTTGATTTGTGTCCTTCCCAACCCTCAATAATGTGTTGACATCCTAACCCTGAGCACCTCGGAATGCAGCCTTAGAAGATGGCTGCTGATGTCACTAGTTGAGGTGAAGTCATTAAGGGGGCCTTGGTCCAGTGTGGCTGATGCCAATAAAGGAAAGGCCCTGTGGCACAGAGACAGGGCTTGGTGTGACTCTACTGTGAGCCAACCAACACAAGGATGGCAGCGATGACAGAGACCGAAGACAAGGTAGCCCTCCTCCGTGGCGTCCCCAGGAGTCACGCCTGACCCACTCCTAACTGCCAGGGCCTCCAGCCTCTGGATGGAGAGGGAACAAGTTTCCATTGTCACAGGCCACTCAGTTTCCAGTTGGGCCTCTAAGTGGTGACCATGCACCATAAAGGGTTGTGCACACTAGGTCGGCCAGCCTCCTGAAACTAGGAAGTGTGGGTTTCCCTCTTGCTTTCAGTGGGGGCCGAGAAGGAAGAGTGCTGACCTCAGCCTCTCCCTTGAGTGTCCCCACTCTCCACAGACAGGGAAGGAAGTTTGGGGTGGAGGCCTGGAGCCTGGAGCTTGGATCTGGTTGACAAGAGGATGAGAGAAACAGGTGGGGTTGGATCCTGAGTCCTGGGGCTTGCTTCTCACAGGACACAAAAGAGATAAACAGGTAGCAAGTGGGTGGACACTTTTAACTGGTTTGGTAAGTATGGATGTTCTGCTGGCTTATGCAGTGTTAATTTGGGGACATATCGTGTTGGACCTCCCGGTCCTAACTAGATCACTCGCCTTCCTGGAGTCAGCTGCTGGGCTTCCTCCGCGCTGTTTAGAGAACTGCCTGTTTGGTGTGCACATGCCTGTCCTGTTTGTTGTGGGGGACAGTCCTTAACATAGCAGTCATGTTCTTCTCACATCACCCCTTAGCCCGAGCTCCCAGTGGGGGCTCCAGTTCATTCTGAACCTCAGCAGCCCCGCCAGGTGGCTGTTGACAGTCGGCACAGAAGGCAGGTGGCTTGCTCCAGGCCACAAAGTATGTGAGTTCCTTTTGCCAGACTCCCAGCACATGAACAATGCCACCCCCCCACACACATATAACCAGTTAATTCCCCTGGAAACCCGTTCACAGAGATACCCAGGGTATGCCACCCCATCTCCCAGGTGTTGCTAAACCCAGTCAAGTTGACGAAAGATGAAACCATCACATGAAGCTTGGTAGTAGCAGTTGATGCATGTGAACTAGTTGGCCCCAGGTCAGCATGTGCCCGGCAAAGTCTGCCTCTCTCCCACAGCCCCTGGAATTTACTCTTGAGAAGCACTGAACTGCTTGTCCTGGCCTTCAAACTGCTGACCTGATTTAAGACACTCTGTCCCTGGTGTCTCCTTTATGGGGGCCTGGAGGGCCACGCACAGCCTTCCCTGGGTCCAGCCTTCCCTGTGTGTGCTGCGGTGTGGCACACATGCATCACTATGTTCAAACCACCAAGCCTGCTTCCTGCATGGCACACTGCAGTCCTTTCCCACATGGCAGCTGGGCCCTTGGCCAGGCTGCCCTCTGCTGTAGGACATTCCTCTTGGCTTCTCCCCACCTGTCCTAGGTCCTTTGTCCTCAGAGTCCATCACATCTACCAGTGTGCACAGTATGTCCCTTGCCACAGGTGGTGACAGACCCTGACAGCCCAGGGACAGCTGTGCTCCCTCTTCCTCCTCTTAGTGTCATTGAGACACCGAGGTGGCATGAGGCAGAGCTGGCCTGATCCAGTTGTCATGTCCCTCTTCCATGGGCCAGGGACCTGCTTCACAGTAGGTCAGAAGTTGGCTGGCCATTTAAGGAGTAGATGTCGCCTCCCAACCAAGAACGTGAGGGCATCCTGTTCCCTCTGCTGAGCTATGGACATGGTTTCCAGAACGAAGGACAAAGGCCACCATACAGAGGAGCTGAGCAGAAAGTGGGCAAGACGGTTCTCAGAATGGTTTCTCTCATGCAGTTAGCCTGCTGCCGACTTCACTGACTTTTGTAAAAAGCTTCCTTACTGTTCAGACTCCTTATAGTCATGGGTGTGTGTGTGTGTGTGTGTGTGTGTGTGTGTGTGTGTGTGTGTGTGTGTGTGTGCGCCATCAAAGCATCAGTGCATTCTTCCATCTTGCCTCAGGTGAGCTGTGGACAGAGTGTGCTGTTCTTCCAAACGGTGACCTTCCAAAAACAGGGCTGGCGGGGGGGGGATGGAGCGGAGCATAGGAGCACAAACTTTAATTTCCCCACTAGAGGAAAGCAAAGCAGTCTGAGAGATGGGTAGAGTGGTAGAGGCTGTACTCTCTCTGACAGGGACCCTGGACAGGACCAGAGAAACAGCCACCGAGAGCCCAGGGGGCTAGGGATGTGCCGAAGACAATTTGCAAGCACCTTAGTAAGTCTATCAGTTGCCAGCTGGGTGAAGTCTCCCTTGGTGAGGGGACCAGCCAGACCGACTCCTTGGGCCGACTTCGGTGGGAAGTCCTGTCAGAAAATCACTCTCAGTTCTCTGTGTTTCCCCTCCAACCTCAGTTTATCTCAAGTGTGTGTGTGTGTGTGTGTGTGTGTGTGTGTGTGTGTGTGAACACACATGTGGAGGCCAGAGGTCAACCTCAGATGTCATTCTTCAGTTATTACCCACTTCATTTTCTTTAGATGGGGTTTCTTCGTTGGCCTGGAGCTCATAAGTAGGCTATTGTGGCTGGCCACAGAGTCCCAGGTATCCCCCTGTCTCCTCCCTTCCTGTGCTAAGATTGCCAGTGCACCCTACCACACCCGGTCTTTTTTTTTTTTTTTTTTTTTTTTATGTGCTCTGGGTATCAAACTCGGATTCTCATTTGTGCGAAGCAAACACTTCACCATCTTGATTATCTCCCCAGCCCTAGAAAGTTCACCTGTGATAGGTTTTCATGTCATGTGGGATCTACTGAGAGCCTCTGTGAGATACATGTCTTGTGCTACATTTAACCACTAGGAACAGCCACGACTCCATCTAAGTCGCTCTCACATTCAAGGAGAGATGCCCTTCATATTGTTCTCCTTCCCCCCTTTATTTTCTGACCTTCTTCTACACCTGATTTCACTCACACAGTGTGGGCGCCTGTAAGATGAGGGCAGAGCTGGGGCCCCACTGTGCAGGGCATGGCCCTGCATGCAGGCCTCTTCAGCTGCCGACGGTTTCCTGGCTTTGTGGCCTAGTGGCCACTAGGGGGTGCTACAGCCTCACGTGCTGAGCCTTGGGCAGGCGCCACTGTGGTCCTGCCCAGAGGAAAGAAGCAGGAACCAGCCCTGTTTATGTCTTGTCCCCGGCAAAATGAGGAAGCCACAAAGAGGATGCACACCTCTGACATTGAACCCATGCCTCACAAGGCCCTGCTAATGCTAGGCCCTGGGAAGACTACAGCAAACAAGCCTGTCCCTGCCCTCCCACAGGTTCCGCCCTGGGGGCAGCTGGGACATGTGGACCCTAGGCATAAGCATGCTGTGTTGAATGCCATGAAGAAAATCAAGAGGGGGCAGGGGTGCTGCCTCGTATTGGAAAAATCAGCAGCAGCATCTCTGATGGGAGGACATTTGGTCTGGGGTGGGATGGAGGCAGAGAGGACTCGGATGGACAGCTGCAAAGATGGCGTGCCTGGTAGGGATGGTAGTTCATTTTCTCCTCTCCGGTCAGCCCTCAGAGAGCAGGTCAGTGTGGGCAGATCTGAGGAGCATGACAGCTAGCTGCAGGTGAGGTCAAAGGAGGGTGGGGCCTCGCTGGGGGAGCCCAGGGTTCGAAGCTTTACGTGAACGGTCAGGGAAGCCATCGGATGTCAGTCAGAGGAATGGCATGCCCTTTGCAAGAGTGTGTGTGGCTGCTGCTCAGGTAGACAGAGTGGAGATGGAGGAATGAGGACCCTCTGAGAACCACTGAGACAGACTGGACACCAAGCCAGTGGGCTCCAGCCCTCTTAGAGTCATCTTTTCAGGCCCGTCCTTGCCTGACTATGCTTGGCTTGAGCAGCCCTCCAGAGTGTGAGCCGAACGGTCACCACAAGCACCTTCGCAGTCTGTGGCCTCCTGACTGGCCTCTCTTGCTTTCTTGTCTCTTTGAAAAGCACATGCTGAGCTCTTTGTGCTCCTGACCCTTCTGCCAGCTCTTCCAACCCTACGTCCTCTATGCCACCATCCCCCCAATCGCCGTCAATGCACTGAGGGCCGCCCCATGGGAAAGCTCCACACCAGTGGAAGGCTCTGCAACCTGGAAGGACTGGCTGGCCATCACCAACACTGCAGAGGGACCTCCAGTCTCCTTGTTGCCTTCTCCCCTTTGTGGGTTGTGAGACCCAGAACTCTGTTCCTTTTCTTTCTTCTTCTCCTCCTGCAGATCAGAAAGGTCCTGGCAAAGGGATTAAGATGCACTCTACAGCTAGCATGAAAACCAGATGTCCGCAGATGCTGTCGGGGAAGCAGGCGTCTTCTCAGACCCCCATGATCATGGCATTGGCGGGTGGTATTGGGAAGTGAGATGAGGTAGCATTGAGTCAGCTCCTCAGCCCCCAATGAGCAATAAATAGCATCTTGTTCTAATGAGCAGTGGTCCACACTCGGTGACTGTTGCTGATGGAACTGGCCCCACTGGCATTGGGACGTTATATTTGTCCTACTAAGAAAGAAAGGAATGAAAAAAAAAATCCCTGACCTCGGTGTCCACCCCTTCTGATTACAGAAAGGCTATTCCAGGCCAAGACTACAGCCCCAAGCAGGACAGGTGAAAATCATATTACACCCTGGCCCCAGGGTAATTTGCATCTGCCGGACCATAGGAAATCTGAGCACTGAGCATGCAAATGAAGCCATGCAGCTTCACTGCAGCGTGGTTTGAAAATGTTTCTTGATTGCCTTCTGCATACAGTAAGAGACACATTTGGGAGCTTGGGAGATGACTCAGTTGTCCATGCATGACAACCTGAGTTCAAGCCCCAGAACCAATGTAAAAAGGCTAGGTGGGTATGGTGGCATGCCCTTCCAGCCCCAGTGATGGGAAGGCAGAGACAGAGGACCCCTAGGGCTTGCTGGCCGGCCAGCCTAGCCTAATTGGTAAGATCCAGGTAAGATCCAGGTTCAGTGAGAAACTGTCTCAGAAAGTGAGGTGGATGGTGCCTGAGGGGTGGCCTCCAAATGTTACAACCACATCTGTACACACATATTCTCTCTCTCTCTCTCTCTCTCTCTCTCTCTCTCTCTCTCTCTCTCTCTCTCTCTCTGACACACACACACACACACACACACACACACACACACACACACACACACTCACAATACGTTTGATGTTGTCATCTGGTATATAATGCCCTTCTCATGACACAGAATTTCCCCTGAACTGTCTTCTCTGTCTCTCTATTATTTTAGTATGCTTTATCAGATAACACACAGCTGATTTTATGACCTGGGTGGAGGGAGTGATTGCAGTCGGGAAAATACCACCCTAGATGGTCAGAGAAGCTGAGATGAGTTTGGAATGCCTGCCAATCGAGGCTGGCTAGGGCGTGGAGAACCAGCTGGATGGAGGGACTGACGCGATGCTTTCTGGCCAGAGATGGAGGCGCTGTGTTTTCTAGCTCAGGTTTCCAAGACTAGCTCAGCCTTGACCGGGGTCATGTGTACTCCAAACCTCTAAAGGAATTTCATTTTCTGTTTGCGGTTAGAGGGCCCCTGTTCTACCAGGAAGACTGGGGTCCTGCAGCGTCCTGAGCAGAGTGACTGCACATTACCCCCTTTCTCTGAGTGTGGATCTTTATCAGAGTGTGTGCCACGACAGCCTTTGAAATTCGAATGAGCTTGCAGAGGAGTTTATTTAACTTGTAAGACTTTGGGCCCTTTCACACCATTGCGGCCTTGGATCTCAGACAGCCCTTCCTTTATAGCCCAGCAACGGGGAGTTTATTTTTCAAATAAAAGTCTGTTTTCCCATAAAACGCTGAAGGTTTTGTGCCGTGTGGGGAAGAGTGAACTCCAGCTTTCAAGGCTTCAATTTGGAGTCTCCAAGTCTACAATTTAGATGCCAAGGGCTTCCCCAGGGCTGAAGGGGCCCTGCCCCAGCTTGCCCTGTAGAAAAACATGGGGCAGTGGGGCAGCCTATGTGGATCAATGGGCCATTGTGCCCAAGTACAGAACGGGAGCAAAGGGCTGGGGCAGAACTGGAGTGAGTTTGGTCCTCCAGCCCTGAGGTCTAGAAGCCCAGTGGTCACTCGGCAGACTACTTTGCTGACCCTCCAGCACCCTCCTGTAAGGACACTTTTCACATTCCCCGCCAGGCAGGGTCCTGCAGGAAAAGCAGAACCTCTGTGTACTGAAAACAAAAGGACTTAGTCCAGGTTTAGATGGTTCCAATCACGTGGTTCTGTGGTTGTGAGGTGAGGGAGAGCTGAGCTGAGGTACCCACGGAGCCTGAGAGGCAACCCAGAGATTAGAAAAACGTGGAAGAGTAGAAGTAGGAGGACAGTGTAGAACAGCCATGGGGTACCTGCCCAAAAGCAATGGGAGCCACAGGGACTGGATCCAAGCCAGACGCCTTTACCAAGGTCAGCTCCCACTGAGAAGGAACCCAGGCATCTGAGCAAGGAGCAGATGAGAGAACACACAGAGTATGTGGGGGACATTGAGCGGCTGTGAGGCCATGTCACAGGGCCTGGGTCTTGGGAACAGAGCTGCCCAGTTACTCCCAGCACTGTAGAGACAGGAGCCCCACCCTTCAGTACGGTAGCAGCAGGCAGGTTGGTAATGGGAGGTTGTAGAACCCTCACTGTAAGGAGCCCGAGGCTCAGGTACACCTGGCATGCTTCCTTCTTTGTCTGTGGTCACGGGTGTATGGTGTATACCTGGGGCGCCGCTGTGGGTCTCCAGTGGTGCATCTCTTGCTGTTAGCTGTCACGGGACTCCGTGGTGCCTGGGCATTGGTTCCGACTCTGGAGAGACGGAGAATGGGTGTCACTGGCCTTCCTGAAGTATAGCCAGAGGAAGAACCTGTGAAGAGGAAGCTCGCGGTGTGGGAGGGAAGGGTGGCAGGGAGGAGACCCTAGCACACTTCTTCCCTTGATGGAGATATCTTTGTGAGGAATGTGGTGCTTTTCCAAAAAGCCAGGGTACACCCAGCTGGGAGCCGGGCCACCTCTCCTGCGGTCCCCATGGACCAGAGCTCTGCCATGCTCCCAGAAGGATCCTTCAGGCAACCACAGGGTTTGCTTCCTTTCTTCTTTAGGTCTCTGGTCCAATGGCCTGATGCCAGGGTGGCCACAGGAAAAAGGGGCAGTAGGAGAAAGTGAGGAAGGCTTTAAACACAGGTGGGGGGCTGCGTGAGTGAGGGGAGGAAGCCATATATATGCCACCTGGGAGAAAAATGGTCTGCAGATGGGTCCATGGGGGACGTGCAAACAGGACACACACACACACACACACACACACACACACACACACACACACACACACACACACACACACACAAACACACACACAGAGTTCACAGGGCCTTGGACCAGCAATCTTGAGTGTATCTTCAGATGCCAGGATCCAGTCTAGCGTGAGTTTTGCTCAATGCCCAGAAAAACTAGATTTACTCTGGCTGGCCTGTTCCCCGGGCACAGCTCCTTCCTTGGAGGCCACAGTTCACCCAGCCTTGGCCAGCCAACCTCCCTGGGACCTGTGCTCACTGGCTACAGCTGGAGCTTTCCAGATCCCAGCAGCTGGCAGATCTGCAGCCTCCTGAAAAACGTGACTCATCCAGCCTGTCCACAAAGAAAGGAAAAGTATGTGTGGCATCCGGGTTTCCTGAAAAGTGTAGCCATCGCATGGCACAGCTATGTGGCCTGGCACCCAGTGAACTCCAGGAGGGCGCCCTCTGGTGGCTGCCATGCACCTGTCGGTGAAGGAGCTCCTGTCCCTGCCAGCCCAGACTGGGCTGTGGGGGTTGGGAGTGAATCATGGAGTCTTCCAGTTTGTGAGGCCTGCCTGAGGGACACTCCTGCTGTACTGGAGACAATAAAAGCCCTTGCTAGTGAGCATGGCATCTCCGTCCTCATCTTTTTATTGCTCAAGCCTTCTCACACTCCATTTTGAGACAAGGTTCTTACGTATCCCTCCAACTCACTTTCTATCTGAGAATGGCCTTGAACTTCTGATCTTCCGGATTTCAGGTGGTGTATGTGGTGCTTAGGGTTGAGGCCAGGGCTTCATGCACATTAGACAAACACTGTTCTGAGCTATGTCCCTAGCTCCTCTCAATTCCTTTTTAAAAGTAACATTCCATTTTGACAATTTCAAACTTACAAAAAAAAAAAAATAATAATAGGGTGGAGAGTGGTAGAGAAAGATTCCTGACATCTGTTTCTAGCCTCCACATATATGCACACACAGGTTCACATTGCACCTAAATGCATGTGCAACCCCACAGGAAAACACAAATACACACACACACACACACACACACACACACACACACACACACACGATATACAACATTAAAACATTTTTAAACAGTCTAAAGGGGTCTCTTGTGCTTTTTACCCAATTCCCAAAGCTAACATCCTTCCAAGTTTGCTTAGATCTGACATGTCTGTCTGTCTGTCTCTTCCCTCCCCTCCCCATGCAGTGCTTGTTTGTATAGACTCAGAGTGACTGAGAGCAAGTTACAGGTACAACATCCACTAACCCAGTGGTTCTCACCCTTCCTAATGCTGCCACCCTTTAATACAATTCCTCATGTGGTGATGACCCCCAACCATAAAATTATTTCGTTGTTATTTCATAACTGTGCTTCTGCTAGTATTAAGAATTGTAATGTAACTGTCTGCTGTGCAGGATATCTGATATGTGACCCCAGGGGTCTCCACCCACAGGTTGCAAACCACCACCTAGCCCCTTCAGGCCTTATGAAAATAAGGTGTTTCCGCCACAGTATAACTACCAAGTCCAGGAAACCGATGTCAACAGAGAGTGATTAGCTGCACTTCAGGCTTTGTTTGCATTCGGCAAATTGTCTTAATGACATCCTTTTTGGAAGCACCCTAGACATGACCGAGTCTGTGGCCCGTCTCTCCTGTCCCTCAGCTTCCCCCAGCTCCTCTGCTGTCTCATCTTCCGTGACCTCAGCACTCGCCCAGCGGCCCCAGGCCCCAGGCCAGCCATTGTGTGACTGCCCTCACTCTGGATGTGCCCCAGCACTTCCTCACGAGCAGATTCAGGGTTAGCTGTTGGCAGGCAAGCCACAGGCCTGCTTCCTTGTGCCTGGGCCTCACAGCAGGGAGCCCGTGACTGTGCTGGCACCTTCCTGGTGATAGGAGCCCTGTGACTAGCCAGGCTGTCTGCACAGTGAGGCGCTCCACTTTGATAAAACACTCGTTTCCCTTTGTGATCAGTCGGCATTGTGGGGCAGCTCCTCAGAATGGTATGTGAACAGCCTTCCTCATCCAACTTTGACTTGCTACTTTGAGCAGCAATCGATGAGTCTTGCCTAAATGATGGCTGTAATGGGTGCCAAAGAGTGATAGTGTAATTCATCCCTAATTCTCTGCATTAGCCGGTTGGAAGGAGTCTTTCTCAGGAAAAGAGCTACCATCTTTCCTGTCTGTGTGTGTATGTCTGGACTCCTGGATTTGTATTTTAGTTAGTGAGTTAAAATTTTCCACTGTCATATTCTGATGTTCAAAAGGTCTGAGACTCGTCCAGCGGGAGCCTCGTCAAGTGTCCCCTGTGTCTTTTGACTGTCCCCATAACTGTCCGCGCTGCCTGACTTCTGGCTTCTCTTACACTTCCCATCCCAGCTCTGGAATGAGCCCCTTCTCCAGGGAAAGTTTTTGCCATCTCAGTACTGTTCGGTGGCGTGAACGTGTTGACCGTTTCATTACTGTTGGTGGCAAACAGGACTTAGAAATAAGACCTTGGCCCTGGGAATGCACCCTGCTGCTGGGCTGCCATTGCTTCTAGGGCCTCTCAGCAGACCAATGGCAGACAATGTAATTTGTGTAACTAGGGGAGTAATTGAATAAAGACACAGAAGAATACTATGCAGCTGTAAAAAGTATACCGCTGAAATCAGATAGCCAAAGATATGGGAACAGATACCATATCAGAAGATAAGAAGATTGCCATGGCATACCACAGGCATATCACCACTACTAGAAACACAGATGTGGGAGAATTTGTACTCATGCATTCTCCCAGCATTTGTGGAATTTTTTTGTGGTTAAATGCATATATTATATAACACAGTGCCTATGCAGTTTTAAAATATACAGTAGAGTATATTAAGTGCATTCCCAACATTGTCCAGTTACCTCTCGAGTCTCAGGGCTGTTTCATCACTGCTAGCTGTCTCCGTGACAAAGCACTGGAGGTAGGTACCTGAGGAGAAAGGCTTCGTTTGGTTGATGATGTAGAGGTGTCTGTCTGTGACTGCCTGTGACGATGCAGAGGTGTCAGCCTGTGGTGACTTACGTCATGACTTTATGTTGAAGTTGTTGAGAAAGGACCGGACAGTTTCTGGAGAGGATGTCGTGGGACTGTGGCAGTGGAGGTGTCTCACCTCATGGTGTTGAGGAGGCAGAGAAGAGCTGGACTCTCAATATTCCCTTCAAGGGTACACAACCAGTGACCTTTCTTCTCTTAGACCCACTTCCCAGTGGTGCCACACACTGGGCACCAAGCCAGTAGCACATAACCCCCTAGGGAACATTTATGATCCAAATTAGCAATTACCCCAAACAGAACCTTGTCCCCATCACCCAGCACTTACCATCCCTCCACTCCCAGAACCTGGCAAGATCAATCCACTTGGCATGAGATTTTCTCAAACGTGTGTGTGGCCTTGTTATTTAATCTTTGGAGAAGTGTCTGATGGGGCCTCCTGCTCATTTGTTTTTTTCATTCAAGATTCATTGAGAGAGAGAGAGAGAGAGAGAGAGAGAGAGAGAGAGAGAGAGAGAGAGAGAGAGAGAGAATGTTTATGTGCACCACATGCATGCGAGTGCCTGCAAAGGCCAGAAGAGGGCCTTGGATTCCCCAAAGCTGGAGTTATAGGGGGTTGTGAGCCACCTGATGTGGGTGCTGGGAACTGAACCTGGGTCGCCTGAAAGAGCAGCTAGCGCTCTTAATTTCTACAATCCCTCCTGCGTGTTTTCAATTGTGTCATCTTTTTGTTACTGGTTCATAGGAATTCTGGACACGGGGTATTTTGCAGATAAATGACTTGCAAATATTTTCTCTGTGAGTCATCTTCACTCTTTTGATGAAATCCTTTGATGCACAAAAAAAAGTCTGGTTTTGACGATGACCAGAACTACCTTAATGTGCTGCTCCTGTGTGCTTGCTCCTGTAGACCCTGGCACCTGTTGGAATGGAGGAAAGGGCAGGATGAAGGAGGTGGGTACCAGGGATCGCAGTTTGTTCTCAGAAGTGTGAGCCTGAGATGGAGACGGCAGGGCAGGTGACACCAGTGAAGGGGAGGCCCAGGCAGTGGGGACGGCGTTGCCATGGCATCGGTGGTTGATGCTGTGCAGCTCACGGGACGTCTCTGGCCTATCATCTCTTCTCATCCTTGTAAGGTCTCCGAATGAGCCAGGCCTGCTGTGTAGCCATCTGTGTTACAGGAGAATTGTTGAAGAACCCTTGAAATTGCTCAAGATTGCAGGCCTGTGAGTGGACCCAGATTTCTCTCAGGGGTTGCAATTGACCTGAGAAGGGCAAACCTTTCTGTCTACCACCTCATTTTATCACTTATTTCACTTTGAGAAGAAACCAAAGGCAGCCATCGGTTCAGACCTCACATTCTGAACTCCTGTTCATTGAATTTCCGAATGAATGAGTGCAGGAGCAGTTGGGGTCCTTCAAAGGAACCCCAGATCCCAGAAAATGGCATCCCTGCTCAGGTTCCTGGCAGGCGAGGTTAGGCCAGCCAGATGCTGGCTTTTGGCCGAGTCTGGGAGCACAGAGGTCTTCTTCCCCTGCCACAGCTGGGGCGCATTCCTAGCTTACTTTGTTGCTTTAATCAGAATATCTGATGTGTGGCCTTTAGATCTACCGCTCCAGGGCCCTCTGAGCCCAGGATCTGTCCTCTGGGCCACAAAGCAGCTGATCTTTGTCCTTCCCGCTGGTCTGTGGACCTTTGGAGCCCTAGGCCTGATGTACTTTTACAGAGATCTTGATGAGTGGATACCTGTCAACTCCAGAATACAGGAACCACAGAAAGAACTAAAGAAGGCCCCTGAGAGCCCTGCATGGGCACATGTAGCCCCTTCAAGACTCGGAGATCTACAGATTTCGTACTTCCTGGCTCTAACATTGTAGCTGAAAATCATTATTGCCGTAGGTTTTCACTTCTGTGTGTGTGTGTGTGTGTGTGTGTGTGTGTGTGTGTGTGTGTGCGTGCACATGTACTCTATCTGTCCCTATCTGCTTTATTCCCTTGAGACAGTATGTCTCACTGAACCTGGCTGGGGCTTGGTGTTGGTTCAGCTAGACTGGCAGCCAGCAAACCCCAGCAATCCTCCTATCTCTGCCCTCTTGGATGCTGGGGCTGTAGGCATGCACAGCCACACCTGGCTTTTTCTGTGACTTCTGGGGATCCTAACCCAGGCTCCCATGCTTGCATAACAAGCACGCAGCACCTCTCTGTGTCTTTAACTGCAGGCTTGTGTGTGGCCGCTTTGGAGTCTCAGTGGGCTTAGATGCCATCGGTGCGAGCTGACCTGGGTGAACTGAGTTTGTCTTTGCCAAAATAAACACTCTCTTGTCACTCAGATCCTCCCAACTCCGGTTCCCCCAGGCGCCGCGAGGTGAGGTGTGACCCTGAGTGTGCTGGGGTGACTCGGAGCCACATGGTTGCCTGCGTCAGGTGGGGAGGGCCATGCCTCAGAGGTGTGACTCAAACGCAGTCAGTCCGTGAAGAAGGCATAAGGGAGGCCCCAAGGGCGAGTTCACTGAGAACTCAGTGCGACACAACCTTCAGAGCTCTCCGTGAAATATGACCCGCTGTTTTGCAAGCGTCGAGTGCTCTAGCCAGTGTATACACAGCTCCCTGCTCCAGAGGGATCTGCACCTCACACCCCAAGCTTTGGATTGGCAGCAGCCTCTCAAGGACCTGGGTGCTCGTCAGGCCCTGTGAGGGTCACAACCAGGTTTTGTTGGTGTGTCCTCAGTTACTTTTCCTACATCCCGGCAACAGAGAAGCAGCTGCTGGGTCCTAATTGTCCCTGGATAAGGAAGCTGTGGAGTGGGCCAAAGATCCCAGCTCTCTTCCAGGCCACTCTGGAGTCCTGAAGGCTGCTGTGAACTTCTGTCCCTGACTATCCCTAACTGAACAACAGCGGCTAGCCGCCTCCTCCCAGCATGTTGAAAACACAGGAAAGTGCTTTGGGGAAGTCTCTCCACATAGAATGTGTGAACACGCTTACCAGGCAGCCTGTGACCTCCGGGTGGGGAGACCGGCCCTGGAGCCCGTGGATTTCAGGCCTCAGCAGCTCTGCACTAGCATGAGAGACCCCCTTCTCATAAATGGAACAAGGCGCCCCTGCTGCACCCTGAGTCTCAGCTGCTTTTCTCCCCTCTAGGTCCGTGTGACAATTTTAGTAAAATTTATCAGGACATCCAGAGTAGCTTCAGTGGTCATGAGGGTTTGAGGGCTTTTCTGAAATGGACTTCCAGGTAGCAAGAGAACGAAACTGTCCCTAACCATGTCGTCATCGGATGAGACTAAAGCGCTCAGAGTCCCATCCTCTACTCAGTCGTGTGGAGGGGTCCTTGCGGGTCCAGGTGGAGGGAGGGTGGGTAGCCACTGTGGTATCCACAGCAGAGACTAAGAGCCACATTGGCCAGTTCTGGATAGTCCCCAGCCTCAAGTCTAAATGTTCCCAGCTTACGGTACAGCAGATGTCTCTATGTCTTAGCGTGTCTCCCATGTGTGGGGACATAGCCAGTCACCATCAGGAGCCCTCCAAGGATTAAGTAGGTTACTTGCATGGTTTAGGTTACAGGATCACCAGGGAGCTCTCGGGACTACAACAGTGCGCTCACTATTCCACAGTGCGGAGGTGTGGCCTATAGTGTGTGCTGTCCCCAGAGCATGAGAACACCCCTCGGATATTCACTGGAGTGCAGTACTGAGTCCCTCGCCTGCCTACAGCTCCTTTGACTGCCCGTCTGTGACTGTGACCTCTCCTGCCCCAGCACCGCACTCTATTGAACAATCTGGCTTTTAACGGTTTTTGCTGAAACGGACCTGATGGCATCCACAACACCTATAAAACCTGCACATTCGCGTTCAGAAGACCTAGGCCTGTGGGCATCCTGTGGCGGTGCAGAGCAGAGCTTGACTACAAAGGTCAGAGGGTTCTCAGGGTCCCTCCCTGGGCTCCGGGACATTCAGCCTAGGCGTGCTCCAGGGACAGGCCGTGCTGTTCCCAAGAAGCTCCACCTGCTTCCCTGGCCCACTTCACTGCTGAGGAGCCATCTGCAAGGACTCCATCAGCATGTGCTTGTTCTGTCTCTCTTATGGGAGGGGATCCCTGAGCACAGCACTGTCAGTCAAGCTAGAGAGAAAAGTAACATTCAAGGTAAAATGATGGTACAAGCTGGAAGGGTGAACTATCCCAGGGTTGTGGTCTTCGATGCTTTCTAAGCTTTCTTGTTGCTGAGTGCAGATTTGTAGCCGGAACTGTAAACCGATAGCAACAGTGAGAACACACGTGACTGTGTCCATGCATGCCTCCACAGTCCAGTCATCTCTGCCTTTTGGTGTCCAGTTGTGGATTTCTGTGTTTGGTCTTCATTTGCTGTAAAGAGAAGCTTCTTTGAGGAGGGGGTGAGAGCTACAGTTATAGCTAAAGATTTAGAGCTAAGAGCTGTGTGTGTGTGTGTGTGTGTGTGTGTGTGTGTGTGTGTGTGTGTGTTAGGGGGGTGGTTTCTAGGTCCATCCATTTACCTGCAAATTTCATGATTTCATTTTTCTTTATACCTGAATAGTATTCCACTGTGTATATGCACCACACTTTCATTATCCAGTCATCTGTTGAAGGACATTTCGTTTTCATTTGTTTCCTGGCTGTTGTGATTAGGGTAGCAATGGACATTGCTAGAAAGTCTCTGTGGAGTATGATGCATGGCTCCGGGAACATGGTGGAAGGAGAGGGTGGAAAAGGCCAGAAACCCAGGAAGTCTGCTGTGAGACAGTCTCTTCTAGAAATGGCTGCATAAGCAAGACAGGAACAATGGCAGTCTCAAAAGGCATGCTAAGGGGGAAATTTCACGGGGTCCCACTCCTAGACAAAGACTGCTGGAGGAGCCAGAATTAGCCTCTCCCAGGGATGAGCCCTCTTACTGGTGACGCCACACAAAGTGGTCAGACCTAAAACCACATCCATGCACACAAACATGGACTCAGCAAGCTGTATTTACCTGTGTGTGTGCATTCGTGTGCAAGTAACAGTAAAGAGAGAGAGAGGCTATCAATTCGAGGGGAGGAGAGACAGGAGACAGGTTGGAGGGGGGAAGGGAAGGGGACAGTGATGCAATTCTATTTTAATTACACATGTGTTCTTTTCTTTAAAGAACACATATTAAAGCAAACCCTACAGTTAGGGCTGGGAAGGCGAGCCGGTGGTTAAAGCTCTCGCCGTGCAAGCCTGAAGACCGGAGTTTGGATCCCGAGAACCCTTGTAAATGTTGGCTGGGTGTGCTGGCCTGCCAGTAATTCCAGCCTCAGAGGGCGGAGACAGGATCCCCAGAACAACTAGCCTGATCGGAGAGCTCTGGGTTTGACTAGAGACCTGTCAGAAGGTGGAAAAGGTATTGAGTGTGGTTCCCAACACCAGCCTGGGGCTTTTCTATGCACACACACAGGCACACACCTTTTGACACACATGCACCCACAGGCATGCAAAACATGCAGACGTGAAGAAAGAAACATGATTCCAGTCACGTAGCATTATCCCTCTCCCCTCATCTTGAGCCCTGGAGTCAGAATGGCGTCCTGTGAGGGCATCTGCTGGCCCCCACCTCACTCCTGCTCCTGGTTTGTGCCATTCAGGACTGGAGATTTTAAGGCGTGATTTAGAAAGACCTGGGCCACTTGACTACAGTTCCGTCCTGTGAGCTCTCCCGTCCTTCTTTTTCGTCCTTCCCTCTCCTAAAACCTTCTCAGTGTAGACATCCGTACCAGGCTGAGCCTTGCCTCCTCATCCCCCCTCAGTAGCAGCCAGTGACCCTGAAGGACACAGGGGATTCTCTTTTCCCTTTCAGCTGATTGGTCACATTCTTCAGTTCCTCACCCCCAAATGCTCCGGTGGCTAAGTTCAGAGTGAAGGGCAGAACTGGGCAGCTGCAGTGAGTCCTGGTCCCCACAGGCAGAGGGATTGTCTGTTCCTCTCCTGGGCTTTGTCACCTGGAAACGCCCAAGTGACACAAGCCGTTCTTCTTGGCACTCCAAACACAGGGCTCACCTACAAGTTGGTCAGTACTCCTGACATGTCATGGGCTCCCATGGGGACGCAGATCAAGGTTTTCAAGATTGGCTCTTTTGCCTTTAAACTTGGAGGTCAAAGGTGACTGTAAAGAATGTAGACTCTCAAATATTCTCTTTCTTCCAAGGAGCTCCCTGAGGCAGGGCCTGGGGGAGTGGGGGGGGGGGGTGTTGACCTTGGGCCCTGATGTAATGTGTGCATGCAGGAAGAAGTATGGCACAGAGAGAAGACGTGTTCAGAGTTATTCGAATCAGGGTTCAAGTCCACGCCCCCTGCCCTGGCTTGTCGGCTGTCCAACCCCACCAAGCTGCTGCTCTGACTCTCAGCTCTTCGTCTTTAGACGGCACGGCTGTTGGTACCTGCTCTTCAGCCTCGTAGGGACAAAATGAAATGGCAGCTCTTACGCTGCCCCGTGCCTTGCTTGGCTTGTAAGAGACTCCTGGTAAATGGTAGTTATTATTTTGATAATGAAAATACCATTCTTGGAGAACAGGAGTATCTTTGAGTGGTTTATAGTACCCAAATCCCCTCAATCAGCAGCTGCCTAGAACATTCCCCCTAAGTTTAATCACCACCTGCTGAGTGAGTGTCCACATAAACGCAAGTCACCGTGCCTGCCTCCATTTGCTGATTATTTTCCTTATAAACTGAAACACATCTGCTTTTAGGCACTAAACTTTGAAATATTTCTTTCCACATCCTCAGCTTATTTTCTGGTGTAAGAATGCTTACATTGTTGGCTGGGGAGATGGCTCAGTCACTGTTGTCCCAAAGGCATGAGGACCTCAGTTTGGATGCACAGAAACCACATTAAAAGCTGGACCAGTCCCATGCTCAGCATCCCCATCCTGAGGAGTTAGGACAGGAGAGTCCCTGGGGCTCAGGGACAGACCCTGTCTCAAAAAATAATGTGGAAAGCAATTGAGGAAGGCAGCCCACATCAAGCTCTGGGCCCCACACATGTGCACACATACAACTTCCCTGCTTGTGCATGCATGCACACACACATTTAAAAAGAACATTACAACATCTTTTCACATAATCTTTTATTAAAACATGCCTCCTCTTTGTATGTGTTCAGTGGTCCTTCCAGGGGGATCTTTGCATTTTGCTACTTATTTTGCTTTATTAGGTTGTTGTTTCTTTTTTGCATTTTTGTTTGGGGATAGATCTTACTGTGTAGCCCAGGCTGGTCAGGAACTCATGATCCTCCTGTCTCGGCTTCTCCAGTACTGTGATTAAAGGTGTGTGCCCCACCCCTGGATCACTATTGTTTTACATTGAAAACAAGTTTAATTTTTGTGTTAAGCTGAGTTTATTTCAATTCTTAAAAACCTAAATGTGAAACTCTAAAATCTACACACTTCATCTTTTGCAGAGTTTAATCACAGTAAGTTTGGGCCACTGTATTTTGACCGCAGAGATACCTGCTACTGTACTAGAGGCCTGGCCAGACTGAAGGACTGGCTTCTGGTGGCCCACGTACTGAACCGGCTGCACCTGCAGTTTAGAACATCTAAAGTGTGCCCCAAGAGTGGAGACCAGACCAGCATGACTGGAACAAGGGGCTCACATGGGGAAGTGGGCCCAACCCCAGCAGCTGTCCTACAGCTGCTTCCGCAACCTCGCAGCATCCAGTGCAGCCCTGAGGTCCTGCAGTCACGAGTCACTCGGAGAGACAACAGAAGAGAAGCTGTGAGACAAAGCTTTCCCATCCACTGTCAGTGAGAGGATGATGGGGCCGCAGTGACAGAGACAGGCCAGGGCAGGAAGGCAAGGCAGGCAGAACACAGAATGAGGCAGGGTCTGGTCCAAGATCATAGGCGGCCACTCCACAGCTCGAGGGCCCCCCAGGCGTGAGGTAGCAAGTATGTGTTCCTGTCTGCTCTGTACTGTAGCCAAAGGGAGGCCCTGGGGTCGGCTGGTCTAGGGCAGGAGCTGAGATCCCGGGGTCCCTTCCTCCTGCTTCTTCTCTCTTGACCGTGACAAACACCTGCCTGAGGCTACTGAAGGGAGGAAGTCTTTATTTTGGTTCCTAGTTTCGAAGGGATTTCAGTTCATCATGCTGGGAAAAGCAGGGCAGAGGGGACGTGAGGCCCAGTTTGTTAACGTGGCCTGGGCAAGCAACAGACAAAGCGGGTCAGAACCAGAAGAGGCTCACCCCTAGTGACTTAGTTCCACCAGCTAGACTCCAGACCACAGAGGTCCTACAACCTCCCCTAATGGGACCACTAGCGGGAGACCAGGTATTCAGTCATGGGCCTGTGAGGGACAGTTCACATTCAGACCTTAGCTCTCCTGCTGTATGGCATCCTGGACTTGCCTCAGCATGGCCTCTCCCTGCGTGGCGGAGACCCTTACAAGGCTCCCTCAAGTCTGTCCCTTTCCAGCCTGTTGCTTCAGCTAGGAGCCATTGTTTCTCATAGGGGCTTCACAGTGAGTACGCGGTAACCGGCAGTGTTAAACTCTGCCCGAGAGAGTGGCAAACCCACAAGGAGCAGCCAGGCTTGAACTCACGGTGGCTTCTTGTTTGTTTGGGTCCCCATCCTGTCCCTCTAAACCCCCTCGTTTCCAAATGCCATATTAAATAATGAAAATCACACAGACATCAGTGCAGCTTTTGAAGGTGACACCATCTAAACAGGGAGAGGAGAGGACCCGAGCTCACCATCCTTAGCACAGGGGCCATTTACTAACTCTCGGGTGAGCAGTTATTTGGGGGCGCATGCACACAGATTTCACTACCATTAGGTTAGATGATTGGAACTTGGTTTCTAAATATTATATGTGTGTGATGGTGGGTTTATGCATGTGAGTGCCGGGGCCGATAGAGGCAGAAAAAAAAGAAAAAGAAAAAGAGGGGGGCATCTGATTCCCCTGGAGCTGGAGTACCAGGTAGTTGTGATCTGTGCGTCATGGGTGCCAGGAACTGAACTCGGGTTCTCCGAAAGAGCAGTACAAAGTACGTGCTCTTAACCACTGAGCCATTGCCCTACCCCAGACTGTTAGAACCTGAAATCCTGCCATGACCTGGTGTCAGCCTGGCTAACAAAGGTGGACACTGGGTCCCACGGAGGGGAAGAGACTTTCTCAAGGTCACAGTGCTGCTTAGTTACAGGGTAAGTAACTTTCTTTAGTAAAAGCTATGAGAAAAACAAGTTTGTTTTTCTCCTGTTTTACCCTCTTATTTACTTATGACGCAGGTATGAACTAAAGGTTTCGTGCTTTGTCAGGTCAGACATTTGGTTTATGGAAGATGAGATTAGCATTCCAGTCTTGTCTCTGTCATTGGCTGCAGGAGCTTGGATGAGCCA